TGTCTTTTCACGACGCTAGGGTTCAACAAGCCTTATAGTGACCCATCCAACCTCCCACTACAATCCCCAAGTCTTTTTATAGTCACAGGTAATTACACCATGGAGAGATTACATCACTTTCGTCAGCAGGCTTTGCAGCTGACAGGAAGATGTTCTGCGGATGTTTTTGGGAACTTCTCATTTAGCAAACAATTTGCTATGGTCCCTATTGTTTCCTTCCAAGAATAGAACCGCCTTGGTAAACCTTGTGCCTAAAATGGGAACCAAACAACCAAGGGCCACTGTAGATGAGAAAGGAAACAACCAGAGAGGGAAACATGATGATCCAGAGATGATCCTCTGCATCCTTTATCCAGGGGAAGAGAACACAGATGGATGTCTCTTCCTGTCAGGCTAATCCTCTGAAGGCTGATCTGAGAGTTCCAATAAGCAAACACAAGAAAGATCCCAGAGAGAAGCTTACCACTCAGCACAGGTAGTACAGTTCCCAGCAAAGACAATGGACAGCAAAGTCAGACAGACTGAGTACAAAGCCCAGTCAGCTTCATCATTTACAGTGGTCTGTCTCTGAGCAAGTTATCTAACCTCTCTCTGTCTTAGTTTCTCATTTATATCATGGTTACAGGACCACCTAGCTCACAGGCATTTTGAGAGCTTTAAACGGTATGACTGATAACACAAAACCTGACATATGTCAGTTTCCTACCTGTCTTGTCTTCTTGACTCAATGTACATTATCTCTGACTCTACATCCCTTCACAGATGGTGAGGAGAGCCAAGGCCACCTGCCAACATTTCTCTGCCATGCAGTGCTGAGAGCCAAAGCCATGTCATCTCCCAGAGAGTCCAATTCTCAACATTTTCCATCTTCAATGAAAACTGCCCGGCTTTCCCAATCTGCTGCATAAAAATTCAGGTGGTTGTTTTCCCTGTTATTTAAAATTGCTTTATATGCTTTGTGTGATTTTTAACATGACAACATTTAAAGGGAAAACAGAATCAGTAACAAATACTCAATTTGTTCAGTAAATATGCTCAGTAAAGGGGAACAATGAGGAGTAAAAAGCTTTGTACATGAGTCAGCAAGCCAGTTGTGTTAAGATTATCAAACTACACAAACATGAGCTTTCTAGAAGGCAAAGAAGGTTCTAACCAAAGAAGCAAATGAAACTCACTGCCGTCGAGTTGGAGACGACTCACAGGGACCCCTCCTTGGCTTTCTGAGGCAGTACCACTATGAAAGTAGATTGCCCAACCCAATTCCTCCTCAACTAATCAAGTTTTCATCTCCTCCCAATTCTTATCCCCAACCCAAACAATGACTATGTATGTTCAGCTTTGGTTTTTGAAGACAGCAAGGACATCATGTGCATAAAGTCCCCTGCCAACATGACTCAACAGTAGGGCACATACCAACTCTACTGTTGTTATTTGGGAATTACATCGTCCATTTTATATGCCAAGTGCTTTCCAATCATTTTTATTAGTCTATTCAACAATGACTTTTAACATTCTTAAGGATTGTTATTTCTGTTTTATAGGAAACGCAAAGAGGCCAAGTGATTTACCTAAGGTCACACAACAAATTTCTTAAGCTCATAGGTAAAAAAAAAGGATTGAGAGACCTGGAAGAGGCTGCTAACTTTCAGGATCCTAATTAACCCGGATGTAAAACTAAACCCCAAACATGACATAACCACCCCAGAACTCTCAAGTACCTCTTCATACATGATTCTTTTCTTCTGAACTTGAGCCACTATGACCAAGACAAGGGGGTGGCTGTGGTATTTATGACCAGAAACTATGAAGATGAATCACAGCCCATCTCCCACCACGAGGAAGCCCATTTCACTGTCCAGCAGGAAACTCACAGTCATGAATGTACATGTACAGCCCATCAACGGAAGAATGGAGCAACAAACTATGGTACATACACACAATGGAATACTACGCAATGCTAAAGAACAATGAAGAATCTACAAACCACCTTGTAACATGAATGAACTTAGAGGCCATAATGCTGAGCAAAGTCAGTCAACCACAAAAGGACAAATAGTCTGAGGACAAACAAAAAGGACAAAAACTATGGTAAAAAGTCAAGAAAAGAGTTTCACAAAAAAAGAAATATTCTTTGATGGGTTAAATCACTAACTAGAGGGTAGACATATATTAAGTTGGATGAAGAAAAACAGTAAAAAATAAACTAAAAGAAAAAAAAAGTACATGTATACACAAGCATATTCAGGGTCTACTAGAGCCCACTGGATAACAAGGCTGAGTAGTTTACAAGGCAATAACTCTGGAATGGGCATTTCAGGAGCAGATAAGAAAGACAGGTAGGAGAAGAGAGCCTTTTCTGAACTGAAGTGCTTTTTCTTGGCTTCGGCATATCTGAGTCTTGGTTTCTTGGCAAGCTAGCTTGGCATGCTGCTAATGGCAGGCACGGCCATACAGGTGTGCTTGGGTTTCAGGCCAAGAAGCATGCACCTCCCCCTCCCAGGAGCTGGTCCAGAGAGGGAAAAACATTGGCAGTAACTTGGTGCACTGGACCTAAGCAACGGTGAAATCCCTTCCAACTCCAGCACCCTGTTCGTGCCAGTACACGTTTTATAGGGAGTAGAAAAGACTTGAGAGGGAGTATGGTGGGGGAGTGAGGATTCCTTGCAGATGGGGGAAGGGAAAGAAATCAACAAGGCCAACTTTTCCATCCTGGTCTGAGCCCACACTACAAACAGACATATTTTTCCACATTGGAGAATAATAATCCTTTTATCCAGCCAGTCTGGGACCATCAGTCCCTGATAATTGATTTCAGACATTGAGTGGAAAGTTAGGAAGGTGTGGGTAGTTAGAAAATGAGGGTGGGGAACGAGAGGAGGCTGGGGGTGGGTGGGATGGTTTAATGTAGCTAAAGAAGCTAGATACTCTGAAGGCAGGTACTCTGCCACTAACACCACTGTGTAATATGTCGGGACAGCTTCCCCAGAGGAGTCTTAACAAGAGGTAGGTGGCAGGAGTGTGCCAGACACTGTGCCAGATTCTCGTCCTGGCTCCACCTTTAGCTGACCATAAGACACTGGACAAGTACAAAACCTCTGAAGTCCATCATGGCTCTGACCAGTCCCAATCAGGCCATGAAGTCTCTGTTCCAACTACTCATTTCTGTCTTGCCAGCACAAAAGCAGCCACAGATAATATGCGAATGAACAAGGGTTGCTACGTTCTTTTAAAACTTTATTTATGGACACTGAATTGAAATTTCATATAATTTTCATGTGTCACAAAATAGTATTCTAGTCTTTTGATTTTTTTTTTTTTTTTTAACCATTTAAAAATGTAAAAAGTATTCTTAGCTCACAGGTCATTCAAAAGCAGATGGCAGGTGGGATCGGGCCTGGAGGCCTTAGTTTGCCGACCTCCGTTCTAGAGATACAGTGATAAAATACAATCCCTGTACTCCCTAGTTCTGTGATACCGCTTCTGGAGGCCTTTTCTGGCTTTGGAATAGCCCTATGAATACAGACACTGCTTCATTTTGTTTTACATTAGGGTAGTAAGACCTACTTTTCCTTTGGAACCTCACACAACCATGATGCCCACACTGTGGAGTCCCAACAATCCAGTGGTCCCCTGGGTCATATCAGGCATTCCTCATGGCCAAAGAGGTCTCAGGTTTATGGCAAAGGTTGAAGTTAAGAGTCAGAAGACTATGATGGAAAGAAAAACAGCAACTTTCTCCCAACAATTCAACAAAAAACATAAAACTAAATGAGATGCATTATTATCTGTATGCACTGTGTAAGTAGGTGGTGATAGTTGATGAGAAAGGAATGAAAGACACAGCCCTGAGCTATGGGAGCCCTACAAGCTACTTCCCTGTTCCCTTCCAGACCCCTCAGATTCCCCCTCCATGGAATGCTGTCCAAAGTAACTGTCATATATACGTTTCTAGTAAAGCAAGGACCATACAACTCAAAAGGCTCACTGCTGCTCTGTAGCCTGTTAACTCCTCCAACTCACCATCTTCAACCAGAACGTTCTTAGAATCACAAAGCATAGGCTTAAGAAGCTGGAGGTCACCTTAAAGGTCTTCCAGACCAACCATTCACTGACAGATAGAGAAACCAAGCCACAGAATGGTTGTGACTTATCCAAGATCACAAAGTTTGTAGTGTCAGTGATGAGGCTCTGTTTACACTGAATTGTAGTATCTCAAGTATGCACTCATCCCGAGAAAAAGCGAAACATACACACATACATGCATGCACACACATACACGCAAAATAGCTAACAATTACTGTTTATGGTGTTATACCATTCAATCTTCATAACCACTCTATGAGGTAGGTACTATTATTATCTCATGTGCAGCTGAGGAAACCGAGGCTTACAGATGTAGAGAGCCTTGCTGGTGGGTTCCAGAACCAAAAAGGGGGTAGTTCTGGGCTCTGAACACAGGTGGTCTGATTAGGAAACCTGCAGCTTTATCTGTACATCACCTCTGCATCTGATACCTCCACCCTACCTGACAATGATTATGGTCGCAGGGAGGGGTGATAATTCCACCACCAGCTGTCGTTATTGTTGTTGTTCTATGCCGTGGAGTTGGACTCATAGCGACCCCTCCTTGGGTTTCTGAGGTGGTATCACTACAGAAGTAGATTGCCCAACCTTCCGAGGAGTAGCTGGTGGGTTTGAACCGCCAGTCTTCTGGTTAGCAGTCAAGTGCCTTAGGCACTATGCTACCCTACCACCAGCAGGTTTCCATATATCTCTCTGCTTGGCTCATTAGGTCCTTTAGTGCCATGGCCCCAGGAGGACTGGCTCTCTGGTATACCACAGCACAGAAGCCCTCCATCCTCTGCTCTTCTCACAAGGACCTCAAAAAGCATGAAGAGCAACTCTCTGCCAGAGGGAAAGTCCCCTCTCTTGGCCTTTAGGAGAAACAATGGTATCATGTTGTTTCCCTTCCCACACACTGAAGGCAGGTGGGAACTCACCTGATGCAAGTCCCTCTCCAAGCAGGGTGCTAAGGATCACCAGCGGAAGGAATACTCCATGTCCCACAGAGGTACTGGCAAACACTGAGGTGCTCTTTGGTGCTATCCTGCCATGGCACATCTTTTATCCTTCCAAGTCTTTTTTAGAAGAAAAATTTGAAAACCAGAAGTAAAATCCTAAATTCAGCCAGAGGTAGAGTCACCTATAAAAACAAACAAACAAAACAAGGCCGTAAGTACAGTAAAAACTTCAGCCAGAAGTTAGAGGCAGGCACTTTGGTAAGGAAGCCATAATCACTACAAAGTTGAAAGGATTCTAGCAACTAAAGCTATTGCTGCCAGGAAAAGAGACAAGCATGTAAGTGGCTTTTCAACTCCTCCCTGGGGCAAAGCCAAGGCCTGCAGCAAGCTGCTGTCAGCTTCTGGAGCCAGATCTTTGCTTTGCAACAGGACAAGGAGACAAGCTCTGTCTCACCTGGAGATCAGTCAGGCAAGCAGATCTTTCAGAAACTGCCCCAGCTCTGCCCCACCACCTCAGAGGCTCCAGCAGAGGAGAGAGGCAGCAGTTGACACAGAGCTGCTACACCCGAGTCAGGCTATGTCTCTGCCACTTGGACTCAGAGCAAATTCAACTAACCAAAAGGGGAAAAAAAAAAAGAGAGAGAGAGAGAGAGAACACGTGTCTTAAAGGGAGAAACACACCGCCTAGAGAAGGAATGCAGCAGCTGGAGCCCAGGGCCCTGGCTCAGCCTGCGAAACTGTCAGAGGCTGGACGAACCCCTGAGGATCTGACTCGACAGCCGTGCATGTCAAAAATGGACTAATTAGTCTGGCTTACCCAACACACCTGGAATCTGAGAGGCCATCCTCTGCTGGCTGTCCCCCACACTGACAGGGGATGGAGGACAGGTTGTAATTGTTAACTGGCCTCACAACCCATTCTAGTTCAGATAAAGACTTCGGAAGTAAGAGCCAGTGTCTTTTAAAAAATTCAGAGGTCAAGATTTAAAAAATTTTTTCTACATGCCTTCAGGAAGCTGCTGGGTTGATGATACATCATGCTGTGGATCTATTATATTTTAGTTAGCTCAATTCATCTACCAGTTACTCATCTGCCCTAGTTTATAATAGGTATTCCAAATGATAAGATCATACTTCCTTTATTATTATTATTCCACACACACCCTCTTCCTAATTAAGAAGACTTTGTATATAGATACGGAAGCATGCCATCTACAACTCTAGTAAAAAATGCCCCAGAGACTCTGCCAGGGATATTAAGCAGAACTAATATTAATCTGTGTCTGAAGCCTTCACTCAGGCCTGTATTTCCCTCTTAAAGAGGGTTACTACAAACAGCAACATGAGTTACCTGGGTCAAAAGAAGAAAAGCCAGGAAGGCCTTCAATAAGCATCAGCCAAGGTTTCCAGAACAAAACTAGTCACTGGGTCCTTATCCAGTTCCCTCTAATAGTCGTGCCTGTAGCAGTTTCCTGTCTTCAGCTTTTACCCAGTCTCCAACTTGAGCCTTTAAAGTTGTAGCATAGGGATGGTTCATGGCGAGGTCTGGGGTAGAATCTGGGAGTGACCGAAAACAATATCCAAAACTGGATTGTATAAATGTGTGTACATTTACATAGCTAAGAACAAGAGAGTCAGAATGCCTGGCTTCTAATTTGTTTCCTTCATTAAGACCTTGTGATCAAGTTATGTAACCGCCCTAAGCCTCAGTTTCCTCACCTATAAAATAAAGATAGTAACCATACTGTCTCTGGAGGGTTGGTGTAAGGATTAGTATTAAAGCACTTGACACAGTGCATGGTACTTAGTAAGTTCTCAGCAAACACTGGCTGCTGCTGCTCTTGTAATTATTAAGACCTGGGCAAGCAGGGACCTTGGAGGCATTAAGCTCCACCTCCTTGTTTGACAAATGCCAAAACCAACGTCCAATGAGGTTTAAGAATATGGCCAGGGCTACCAGCTGGTTAGTGACAGGACTGGCAATGGGCCCTTTGGGGCTGTCATTTTAGATACTGCCACACCAAATAAGCCTACCAAGCAGTCATCATTCCCTCAAGCCAATAACCACTGATCATCAAGAACAACACCTCCTTGTGCCCTCTCACACAGCACACGCCCAATAAATATTTAAGTAGTGAGTGGATGAGGCCAGATCAGGGTGATGCTTAGATGCAGGAGTGGAGGTGATCAGGGAAGACCACCCAGAGGAAGTGATGCTGAGTCCTGAAGGGTGTGTCCAGTAAAAAAGAAGGAAAAGTTACCAATACAAATGGATTGGTACAGTGGAAGCATAGTACTCCTGTAGAAGCAGCCACAGAGGAGGCTACAGAAGGAGTCTATAACAAGGAGTTTAAACTTTATCCTGAACACCATGTGGATCTAGCAAGGGTTATAAACAAGGAAGTTGTTGGGTGCTGTTGAATCAATTTTAGACTCATAGTGACCCTGTGTGACAGAGCAGAACTGCCCCATAGGGTTTTCTAGGCTATAATCTTTATGGGAGCAGACTGCACGGTTTTTCTGCTGTGGAGCCACTGAGTGAATCTGAACCATCAACCTTTTAGTTACCAGCTGAGCACTCAACCATTGCACTACCAAGGCTCCCTATAAGGGAGTTACAAGACCAAATACATTTAGGAAGATCACTCTGATGGAATTTTAGAGGATTTAGAGAAGTTGTGGTAGGAAAGTGGCAAAGAACCTTAAATTTAGTATTTCGTAATCAATGGAAAGCTTTTTGGAGAGCAATTTGGCAATATCTGCCCCCAAAATGTATATATTCTCTGACCCACTGACTGTACTTTTAAAATCTGTCCTCAGAAATCACATGTGCAGTAATATACACGTAAAGACATTCACTGCTTTATTTCTAAGGACAAAACACTGGAGCAACCTGAAGCTCATCAAAGGTGAACTAGCTAAATAAATTAAAGTAACCTATACAACAGAATACGATGCAGTGGTTTACAAGAACAGGGCAGCTCAATCACTTGTAAGTAAAGAAAACCAGATGTGTGTATGTGTGTGCTTTTAAAAGATGAACACACACACACACACAACACCTGTATACACTGAAAATCTCTGAACTAATGCACAAGAAGTTGCTAACAAGCAATTGCCTTCAGGGAGGGAAAGTGATACAGTAGTTAATGCAGAAGGAGAGAAACTCATTCGTTACTGTATATATTCCTTTTCAATCTTCTTAAGTTTTGAGCCTTTTGTATGCATTATCTATTCAAACAGATAAAAATATAAAATTCATGTAGCAAGGCCTTCCTGTAGACTGCCTGTCTCTTTCCTCAACAAATGGATTTCCATTACAAATAAACCTCAAGAACTTGCTTATTGGGTTCAGCCCAAGAATTATCTCCATGAAGAATTCTTTTCTGACACTTTATAGTATCTGCACCCTAAGTAGAACTGGCCTCCTTCTTACCCCCTAAGTGCCCTGGGCAGCCTGCTATTACTGCACCCGTAACAGGCTATTACATATGTTTGTTTAGTTGTCTCACCCTACTTGACAAGAATTCCTTGAAGGCAGAGACCATGAATTACCCCACCTGGAATCTTCAACATCCAGCTCAGGGCCTGGCACCTGACAAACTCATGAATACTGCAGAGAGGAACCAGTATGGATTGGGAAGGAGAAGATGTTCACATCTCAGCTTCTGGTTGGTTGGTTGTTTTCAGAAATAGTTGGCTCCTTCCTTACCACTCAAGTAGCTATTCAAGCAAAAGGACCGATTTCACCATGAAGACCAAGAACTGACGACCAAGTGCAAAACAGATGGAAGTGATGGAAATGGGACTTTGCAAAGAAAAAAGATAAATGGAGTGTAGTCATTGTAGAATTTGCATTCAAGGTTGGCTGGGTCAAGGATTATTGCTTCAGAAATAATACAGTGTAGCTAACTCCTCCAACCCCAAAGTATCATCCCGAATGGGAGAAAGTCAGCTACTGTGGAGTAAGGGTCACTGTCAAGCTAGTCATTTTAAAAGACGATCTGTTTTGAATATACAATTAGAAAAAAAAAAAAAAAAACTGTCCTTAAAAATGCTTCAGAACAAATTAAGTCTAGATATTCATTATCCCAAGAAGCTCTGGTGGTCTGGTGGCATAGTGGTTAAAACATTCAGCTGTTAACCAAAAGGTTGGCAATTCAAACCCATCAGCCACTCCTTGAAAGAGAGATGAGAAAGTCTGCTTCCATAAAGATTTACAGCCTGGGAAACCCTATGGGGCAATTCTACTCTCTCCTAAAGGGTCATTATGAGTTGAGATCGACTTGATGGCAGTGGGTTTGGTTTGGGTTTTATTCATTATCCCCAGAGAAACAAGCTAAAACTTTAAAAAATAAATAAATAAATAAATAAATCTGTTTCATTCAATATTGTTTTGAAATGTTAGTGACCACTTCTTTTAATTAAAAATAATTATGGCTAAAGAGGAACCTGGAGCTACACCTCATTTTCAAAACCAACACCCATCTACCTTCACAAGGAACACAGAATCTAAACTTGGAGGTGAGAAAGGAGAGGGCCTGGGGCTATGAGTTAGAGTTAGTCCCACTTCGGCCACCAACCAGCTGGCCTGTCAAAAAGGCTCTTGGGGCTTCTTTTTCCACATTTGAAAAAGGCTCTGAAGCTTCTCTCAGCTACAGAATTCTCCACAGCTCCCAAGCTGCTCTTTGTGTAAAACATCTCCTCCTCCAACAGTTAGCTCCCCTACAAAACACAGGGTGAGAAGGAGTCAAGGAAAATCTGCATTTACCCTTCTGATTTTATTTCTTGGGACTGGTACAGCTGCCCCAATACTGTGTGGTAGCAGAAAGTCCCTTGAGCCAGACTGTCAGCTCTTCAAAGTATGGCCTCTGTGAATCCAAAATATCAAAAGCTGGATGGATGACTGTGCAATGCGAACGTGATGTTAGGAACACTTATTTCCTGTCCAGGATAATCAGCACTGTGCCCTCTGACTTTGGGGAAGTTACTCCCTTATCTTTGCCTGTTTCCTCATCTGTAAAATGGAGTGTTGCTTGTTCTGTCTAGCTCACTAGGATCTGCTAAGTCTCAAAAGGGATAAAATACAAGGAGATAAAT